TTTTAGTTGGTGTTGAATTTTGGTGCCATGATTTTCACGTGTTGGCGATCAATAATCCTGTTTTTGAATTTTTATTTCTGCATTTGGTATTTTATGTACATACAGAGACCTTTCCCATGTAATTAAGGCCTCGAATTTGAATACATATAGCGCGAGTAGACTCCTGACTAACTTTTTAATAGTCTTACAAGTGCAAGCGTTCCTCCTTAATCTCATCTAGCGTTTAAATAGGGTTGCCTGCTACAGGTGGGATTGTTCATTTCACTAATTGCTTCAGTATCTGTTAATTGCCTTTTGGTGGCCATTTAGTTTGCTTTGAACCATTTGAAATATTTTGTCCAACCGGTTGCTTCATGTTCAGCTTTCGGTTTATTGCTCTGGCATCCAATGATTACAATGTGTTTGTAAGCCAACAGTAGTTCCTTACAAAATTTTAACCTTTGGATGATGGTTGCTCTTCATCAACTTCCCGTTTACTGTAGTTGGGTTATAAGAATGTTGTCCTGGTTGTCAATCTGCATCACATTTCTTGTTAATAAGTACCTTGTCTTTTTAAGCTGGGGATTCCTTTACTGCTGTGAATAAAATTCAGACCCTTGAGCATCATGAAGAACGCGTTTGGTGTGTCACATGGAACCACGCGGGAACTATTCTGGCGTCGTGTGGAGAAGACAAGTCCGTTTGCCTTTGGGTACTTGAAGGTTTGTTTTATCTTAAGCCTAACTTTGTAGTCAATCCAAATTCGTCTCGGTACAGTCATTTTAAATAAGGTTTCCAGCTTTGATGAGCGTCACGGCACTCTCGTTTTAACCGCATAATTTATCCATCAAAAGCACAGCATTATTGCAAACTTATCTGGCTTCCTTGCCTATGGGTCTTGCTTGTAACTCTAGGGAACCTTGCCTTTGCCAAGACTATCAAGTACGTAAACGTTACAGGACGTAAACGCTTCCGTAGTGGTTATAATTAAAACTTTATATCGATCTACAGATGGTCTTTTAAATCGAGCTAACATCATGAATTTTGTCTCGGGCTTTGTATACTTTTTCATGTTGAGTTAACCGTCATATTTTGACCCTTTCTCTTGTAGTCTTTTTTTCTGTTTGCAGGCTCCACTTGGAAATTTGCCTGCTCGTCGACAGAAAGCCACACCCGAACTGTTCGTCATGTTTCCTGGTCACCAAGCGACAACTATCTGGCTACAGCAAGTTTTGATTCTGCCGTTGTGATATGGCGTATTGTCACGTCGGAGGGCGCGGTTGATCTGCAGTCTATCGCAATTTTGGAAGGTATATTTTGTCATGACGTTGCGAATAATTTCTGTGTATTATGTCCATAACTTGCACGTGGGATGCAGTTGATGGGTCACATTGCCTTGCTTAATCGTCGTTAAGAGTAGATTCAGGTGTAAGACCCGTTAGGGTATCATACAAAAGGCCAGCTTATATAAAAATCAATAATTTTTACTAACATGCAGACGTAACCTTTGATTTTAAACACATTTGACCACACTTCGAGCATGCGACTTTTTCTTCACGAGTTTCGATCCACCCTGCACCAAAGTCTATTCCACTAAATGTTGTAGCTGGACGCGTTAATCGACTTCTGTGGGATAAAACCATGCACCTAATTTCATCCACATGTCTACTTACATTCACGACACCACTTCCATGCATGCACTATTCAACCAATGCGCACTTAACAAAAACAAGGAGTGGGACTTCGTTCGACAACCCTTATCTTCCCACTGGTAACTGGAATACCCCATTTTCCTTCCAGCTCGCCAAAACACCGAGAAGTTGGCTCTCAATAATCTTCTTGTGATCGAGTTTCGTGTTCCTTGGCGGGGTTTGCAGTGACTCAAATTAAGACAAAAGTGTAGAGGTGCCAGATCAGTAGAATATGTGTGGTGGATGTGCGAACATCCCGTTTTACTCGTTCATTGAAGTGTGTAGTTGCGTTTGAGTGAGGCGGAACGCGATGAGCCGGTGGTTTGCGAGTGGGGGTTGTTCACTCTCGATGGCTGCCTTCAACCCTTTCAGTTGGCAGCATTAGAGTTCTAGACTGACCGATTGATCTAGCGATAGAACAGAATGGTGCAGCGATGTCTGCTGACGCCAACATGCGTGGAGCATCGCCTTCTGTGGATGACGCTCAATTTTGGCCGTTCTGTCTTTGAAGGGGCTTCACACCTGCCCCATACGCGATTCAGCACGACATAAATTCCTCAATAACCAGTTAGTACTGGCGGTATAAGTGGCAATTCTTCGGTGCTTTCTAGTGTGTGAGCTCTTCTAAGCTTTAGAATCCTTGCCGATTCCGTGGAGGTTCTAGTCAAACTGTTTCTTAAGAGCATGCGCTCTGTCCGTAAAACCTGCATAGTTTTCCCTCTCGGGCTACAGTGTGCACTAATATACTGCAAATATGCCACTGTTTAGAATAGTTTGTTGTTTGCAATTTCGGAACCGGAGCGATAATTGTGATGGATTTAGGTGGAATTCAACATCCCAAGCATTAGTGAATGTTCCGAATTCCTGCAAGAAATCTTGCAGATTGTTCGAGCATTTGTTGCGTTAACACTTGCTATTAACCTGGGTGATTTACGTACACCTGGTGGAGCGTTCCCTGTTTAGTGCTTTGAATTCGATTGTACGTATTCGATCTCTTTTGCAAACTGCAATCAGGTCTCTGTTTACGTCGTCGCAAAGAAGACTCCTGTGTTAGTTTACAAAAAACCTAGATATTTATTGCTACCTGTGCAATGTTGAAGGCAGTAAGACCCGCTTTGTGTGCTAAAAATGTTCTAGTTTGCGCATAATTTATCCAAGGTACTGTTGAAAGATGACAATCAAAAGTTTTACAAACATTTTTTTATAATTTAACAACGAAGTGGTGATTATCGATGTTTTTACTAAAAATACCTTTTAAGGTCATGCCAACGAGGTGAAGTGTGTCGCCTGGGCTGTTTCCGGCCATCTGTTGGCCACGTGTGGACGTGATAAGAGTGTCTGGATTTGGGAATTTGACGATGAAGAGGACTTCCAGTGTGTCAGTGTTCTTCAGCCCCACAACGCCGACGTCAAATCTGTTTTTTGGCACCCAATAAAAGAGGTGAAATTCCTTCCCTTACCTTTTCCGATTCGTGCGGCTAGATTATCGATTTCCCAACTTATGCTTAATTTATTTTATTAATCTCGTAATTTGGCTCGAAAACATTTCTACTTGGTAAATATGGGACAACAAGCAGTTTTCCTTTGGTATTTTCGTCAGTCTGGCTCCACAAAAGACGCTTTTTTCATTGGACACAACGCTTCAGGTACCCAGAATCGGTACTTACTGAACATTTCATTTGCACGGGGTAATTCTACCTAACAATATTGATCTCAATTTATTGTTCCACGCAAATAGCAAACATGGTTAAGTTAATCGCCAATTTGAAGCAAAAATTAATGACTGTCGACGATATATGTACTTATCTATTTGGTGGATGGGGCAACTAACCATATGTGATACACGTGGAGGCATTTTGTGTTTTTTGGATCTATAAAAAAACTTTTCCAGAACAACGTAGAGCTCTCCACACAATTTCTGCTTCCAATTTCCCCTTTGAAAATAAATTAGGGTCAAACAGTCGTGCCTAAGTCATTTTTTTCACAACTTAATGGGCTAATTATCTCCTGAAATGCGGGCACGACGTGTGGTTTTGCACTAAGGCATGTTGTCTTGGTGCCGTCAGGTAGTCGCCCACACCTCTCCACGTGTTGACGGCTTTAATTAAATAGCTCTGAAGCGGCCTATTTCATTCGCTTTTAGGATTTGTGTTCTGTCACAGTTGCTGAGTTTCATGGAAATTTGGCTTGTTTTACTTAATATTTGAGTAGTTTCAACTTCCTCACTAACCTTTCTGGTAGATTTTAGGTTCAACAAGCTATGACAACACAATCAATCTGTATAAAGAGGAGCTGGATGATTGGGCAGTTTCATGTAAACTAGGCGAGTTTTCTACAAAATTTTTCCTAATTAGCCGAAAGACGTGTTCTCAATTTTGCTGTTGTTGTATCTAGCCGGCCACGATTCCACTGTATGGAAAGCCGAGTTCTCTCCAACAGGCGAGCTTCTTGCGTCAGTAAGCGAAGACAAAAGCGTCAAGCTCTGGCATGAACTACGTTAGTTGACCTGTGTATACAAGTATTACTTGCCATAAGACGAATTTGAATCCCTATCTCTTATCCATTTCAGCTAACAACGATTCCCTCCATTGGGTTTGTTTCAAGACACTCGCCGATTGTCACGCTGCTCCAGTGTTTGGTCTAAATTGGTAACATACTCAAATTCACGAGCTATATTGTTATTTTAAATTTAGGTCACCTTGTGGTCAGTACTTGGCGACATGTGGTGGAGACAATTGTGTCTTCATTTTCCGCGTTAAACTAGCCTCTGGTAATTTCCTTGATGCCCCATCAACTGGCAACGTGGTTGTATGGCAAAATTTACCGAAAGCTCACGATAGTGACGTGAATTCGGTGACTTGGTTCCCGAAAGTATGTAATAAGAGTGAAACAAGTCACAAAGCTGCATATCTTCTGGCCACTGCTGGAGACGATCGGCTAGTGAACTTGTGGACTGTCCCGCTTGATCCAGATTGCATCGATTGCTTTGTGCACTCACAAACTACTGTAGATGAATTTGACGTTGATTGATAACTGTATTTGTGCTGTACCTTTTATCACAAAAAAACCAGCTTTTTGTATTTGTCCCTAGTTTATAAGTGAGCGTTAATTACTGTTTATTGTGGCACTTTATGGTTCGAGGTTCCCAGTGAAAAGGAGGAGTCGATGCGACTCGTCGTTTAATCGATAAAACGACCCGGTCTTTTGCTGTAAATTGCGCCTAACAGTCAAAAGACCAAAAGTCAATGAATGAGAGTTCACATATGAGGTGTTAAACCGAAATCAAATAACTAATCTTGGGGACATCTTGTGGGAGTGCAGATCGCTAATGGGTTCTATTGCTGGAGCAGACATTAGAGGCTAGTTTATACATGGACAACCGGAGAGGTTCGGTCCACCAGATTTCCGCAATTGGGGTGTCCTCCAATAAAGAATGGAAAGTGTGATGTTATTAAAGCGCTTAATGGTGAATTAGAGTGTTCATGTCAATGTCATGATCAATTTTCATTTATTTAGGCATTGATTCTGCGCGGTAATCCGTTAGGTACTAACCGAAATAATCATTAACCAGATTGGATGGGCACCAAATTGCCGTCTATACTAATTTTGATCTTGAAATGACTGGCTTTTTCTGGAGCCGATCTGCTTTCAAAAGTATTAAAACAATATCAAGAAGAAATATGGATTACAAATATGGGACCTAAAAGGATAAAGTTATGAAGTCGTCTTTGAGTAATTAGGTATAATCACATGAATTTTTCCTACTAACTACCGAATAGTTCGTGAAATGAGCCATTATTCGCGAAGAATGAACTTTAAGGATTTAATTATTGTTACGACTGCAAATAAGTAACTTAATCCTTAATTTGTGTCATTAGTACCACTATATCGAATTTGTAAGGTTAACAGTTTTATAATATGCCAAAGAGTTTTAGCATAGGTCACTTGCAATTGTACACACAATAATTCAAATTATGACCAGGTATTGTGAAATTCTTTCATTGGAAATTGCAGCTCTATGGCTCATATTGGTAATTCTATATTGAAAAAACAGATCAAGGCATGCGCTTGGCAACAAGAATAATGTGTTGTTTCAAGTTAAAATTATAACGAGTTAAATTAATGAACAGAAATCGATAAATAAAATTACAAATACTCTGTGGTTGTCAGAGTAAAGTTCAATTCTTTCCACATAAAATAATGTGAATCATATATTATCTGGACGCTGACATATTTTATGCAGGAATTACCACTGAACATACCCAAAACTTACAGTTAAATAGTGAGCTGTGAAGTTATCTTCATAAGGCCATTGTCTTAGATTCCAGAATAATTCGATTAATTAAAAATAACATCAAAGCCATCAATATTCAAGGAAGTAGGAAGAAGCATAATTCTTTAAAAACACAGCCATAATGTTCTTTGATCTTTAGAATTACTATTTGGCTGAAAAAATTCACAACAGGTCATTTTATAATTCCATTCAATTACAATGACCATTAGATCCTACTTATACAACACGCCTGTGGTGGTCAACCCAATAGGATGTATTATAAAAATATAGCCTCACCATGCAAAAATGTTTCATTAAATTTTTTGCACATTTGTTTTGTTTTGTTTCTATAATAAAAAAACAAGAACTGTGTTTTAATTTGTAGTTCAACTCGTAGCCCTTTTTGAAGCGTAGCAATTTTTATCAAGATGGGGGATGTTCCTGTTGACGAGCATAATGCGGGTTTTTGTTCGGAAAGAGATAGTCGGCTGAATGTTTTTGAAAACGTGAGTTATGCGTTAAAATTTATGCAGTTTTTTGAATTCCTTAATGCCTCTCTTGACGATGTTATTCCTGTTTCAAATTTTCTTTAAATTTCAGAAATTAGATGCCATAACCGTTTATCTCTAACCAAGTTCCTTTGTTTCGTTTAAGGCACCATAACTAAATGCTATGGTTTATTGCTTTAGAATTCACGTTTTCTTACATTGGTGTTTGTTGGCTACTACCGGATTTCTTTTATTTTTCGTTTTGTTGTAGTTGCCTTTGAAAACCTGAATCTGATTCATACGCTAAAACCATATTTAATTCAAGCTAGATGTTTTGTACGTGGGTTCTTCATGGTCTACTCTTTGTATTGCCTTCCAAATTATGCATTGAAAAGTTCTAGCCATGTAGTGCTTTAATTTCTCTGTCTTACTGTCTTTGCTGATTTGTAATTTCCGCTCGTTATTCTGTGGTTTTATTTCATAGCAAACTTTAAGTTGAGAGGTATGCTTTTTTATTTTGTGAATGTGGTAACTAGCCCCAAGGAATCAACATAAATGTTTTCTATTTTTCTTTTGGATTCCAGGTTAACCCAGCTCTATCCACGAGCGTTAAGCGTTCCATTACGGACAGTATGGATCTTGTTAGTGCTCAAAAGAAAACACGCCTTGAAGTTGTCGCAGAACAAAAGCGCTACCTTGATGCATTCAGTCAATGGAATGAGGAGGACCAGGTTGATTTTCTATGTCAACTGCTTTCACGTATGTCCCACGCACAGCACTCCCGAATCAATAGCCTCCTAGAACCATTGCTTCAATGTGATTTCATTATGGCTCTACCCACTCGTGGTGTGCCAAATATTTCCGCCGCCATTCTTTCCTACCTTGATGCCCAGTCTCTTCTGTCCGTGGAACTAGTTTCGAAGGGTTGGCAGTGGATTGTGGTGCGGTTTCAGTTATGGCGTAAACTAATTGCTCGGCGAATCGCGACAGATTCAGTATGGCGGGGATTAGCCGAGCGTCGTGGTTGGCTCTCTGTTGTAAATTTGGTCGATCCAGCTCTCCTTTGTTCACTCCTCGAGCAACGTCTCGTAGCTCATGACTGTGGACAGGTTCAAAAGCGCGAGATCGATTTTCCTTTGGTTAAATCGACCGGTCAGTCCCACCAACCAGCCCCATTTGGGGACAACTGGAGTTCAGTCCTTCCTACGTCATTTACCTCAGCAGCAGCTAGCGTGGCTGCATCTGCAGAAGCCCCTACTTCCTCTGCGTCTAGTCCTGAAGCAATGATGGTAGCTCATCGGTTCTACAAGCAGCTTTATCCTCGGGTTATTCGAGATATAAATGTGAGTTATTCATTTAAATGCGCAATGCCTTTACAAAATAATGTTTGCCTTTTATTAAAAGCAGTATTGATGTATTTCTTTCTTGACCTCTTGCATAATTGATTATGTCATCGCCCTATGTGTGAATTTTTCCTCTCATACTAGTTTTGATTTGTAGTTACAAAATTCTCCTTAATTAGTCAGTTACTATTTATACAAACGGGATCTACTTTTCCTAAAACAAAGTATATTTCGCGTCAACTGCTTCTTTTGTGGAGAGTTAAACTTTTCAACAAAGTGTCGGAACGTGTAGATACATCAAGATCTTGGGTCTGTTTATTATCACTCATCGGGAAACCCCAACCAAAGTTGCGGTGTGATTTGTGCAACGCAGGGCTACAATTCGCATTTGATTGGGTCTATTCTAATATTTGTTTGTGTATGTACTGTTTTGGTGTAGAATGTTCAAATTCTTTTTCATAGGCCCAAACATGAACAATTTAGTCTAAATTAATTTGGTTACATAGTTTGAGTCCATCGAAAGCCCGCTACCATCCACAACACCTAACCTCCTTGAGACGAGGGGACTATGGATTCAATCTACTTGTGTGCATACTGATCTCGCGTACACACTTGTCACGTAC